ACGGTCAGTCAGCCGTGAACAGGCTGGCCAAGGTTCGTGCGTCGGTCACCGATATAATACCAGGCACGCAGCAAGACTGAAACAGTCATGGCGAACAGGAACAATCACCGCATTAATCTGGCGATGGAAACAAGCGAGTGTCTGAAACGTCAGTCGGTCAATGTCCTCGAACCTTATTCGTTTACTTTGAAGATGATGAAAACGACATCTTAAAAAGTCTTTCCAAAACTTCACATTGTCTTGGGAAACATCTAATGCAGGTACCTATGCCCATGCTCTCATGTCAACTCTAACGGTAGCTTTCCTTGGCCCTGACCCTTCCTGGAATTTAACGAATTTCCACCTCTTATACTCTGGGGGGGGGAGGAGTGCTTAAAGCCTTGCCCTTCACTTGCAGGTATTCCCTTTATACCTAGTCGACCAAAGCAGCGATTAGGCGATCCTATTCACACGTTTCACATCCCTTTAAACTGTGGCTTAGGTTTGTGTTGCCGACCGGTCTTTGGTCCGCTGCTCAGCTGATTTTGGACATATCAGAAGCAATTGATTCTCTGAGTTTAAGGCATAAATGCATGCTCCAAAAAGACCTCTAAACATTACAATTGCTTCTTCAAAACATTCATAGCATTCAGTCTAAATTAGTAAAAAATGTAGACTTCAAACCGCCTGCAAACTCATTCTACTTGACACTCACGCGATGCTTTTTCTTTTGTTTTAGCTATGCTACTTGGAACCTCCTTTAAAAGAGCAGTTCTGCAACTCCAAAAATGTCTGCCAACATCTTCCATGTGTTTCCTCTCTCTTTCCTTTTTCTGATTTTTTGTTCAACATGTTCAGTACCGGGGGGAACTAACCAAAAATTCCCTTCCCCCTAGAATGATGCTTTTGTGTACGAGCCAGTCTGGTTTTGGACCACTGTTTGGCCAAAATCTCTCTCACTCTCTGTGTACACTCCGTTTTCTCACTGTAATAAACAGTGCATACAGGAGTAACAAAGTGTCTCTGTGCAGCCTGACCTCTACAAACCTTTTATACTGTCTTCCAAATGCCATTCGCTTTGGGTCAAACAAAAATATACGCGTATCACTCAGTGTATGCTGACTTCCGCCCTGAGACAGAAAACGGCACGGCAAGTGTGATTGAGGCTTCAAACTGCACCCTGTCTCACAGCTCTCCAAATCATTCGCAAATCGTACACGTACCCATAACTAGTATTATGTGCCGGTAGACCGCAGAAAATGCAGACTTGCTCTCTATGCTCCGGAAAAACTTCCTGACTTGTTTCGGCTGCGATCATGACTGATCTAGCCGGCCTCGATGATGTCCCGGATGGTGCTTCTCCATGCCGGACGATCCATGGCAGCAGGCCTAGACAATCTCATCTAATCTCCCTGCGAACGCCGGAGGCCGAATACGGAAGGTCCGAGACCAAATTCCATGTCCTGACGGACTGAGTCGAGCCAAGTTGTGAGCTGATCTCCTCTTCGAGGTCTCCAATTAGTTAACGATTTTGGGTCGAGGACAGTAATACTGAACTCATGAGGATACCGACGAAGAATGCTGATGAACCGGCAAAACAATGAGCTCATAGTTCAGTGGTAAGAGCGGTAGACTCTGCCCAAGAGGTCGCGAGTTCAAGCCACTTGTGC